TTCTAGGTCAGTATTAAGTTTGTGTTTGCCAGCGTTACATCATTTTAAAGGTAGCTGTTACAGGTGCAGTGACTTTTAATGTAGTTGGGCAAAATATACCTTGCTACGAATAATAAATTCACAGAAGTAAAGCCTGTGTCTCATGCATCCGTTTATATGATGATACGATAAAACGAAAGTGTTTCTATTGGTTGGAGATCTGCGAATTCTTCCGCCAACCAATAGAAAGACTTTCGTATCATTGTACCATCGTATAAGCGGATGCATGGGACACAGGCTTTACAATCGTATTGTAATTCATAAATCGAAATTCCCGCTTCTTTTTAATTTAGGGACCGAAACACCTGGCAGAGAGCGCGCATAAGCGGTCACGGCCGTTTGCATGGAGTTGTCACTTCTTGTTCAGAGGTGTTCTGTGGTGAATGCTGACATAGATGAAGACAACTATAGATTGCCCACTCCCTTGCACAAAATGATAACAAGGATTTTTACTGACACTGTCGCCATCTATTAGCTGCTTCCGACTATCTAACGTCATTGTCCCAAAATACCCCCCTCCCCCGTATGTTCTGTGGTCATTGCTGGGTTTTCGTCCTTACTATTGTGTATTCAGGATTTGCTATTGTCGGCGAGCCAATACTACAATTGAGATTAAAAGATGCTTAATATTCAGTTCGATGTATTTGCAATATATCAAATTGAACATAAACATACTCCTAATCTCAATTGAAGTATTTCGGCGTAGCCACAGGTGCTTGAATATGTTAATAAAAACTCTATAAGCATTTACACACTTTTATGGCAGTAAATAAATAGGCGAAACGTCAATTACCATTATATTGTGAAAGGTGTTTGTTATAGAAACCAGAAACATTTGCTCAAGAAGCAAAATCATGTTATAAATCAAAAATTCAGAAATTAAACAAATACCTAATTTAAAGTAGCAAAACAAATTCATTAATTTAGTACAATTACTAATGCAGATACATATTTAGGTATGTGTATGGATAACATAATTACATGTAGGTTTCTCACCTGTTCTTCAAATTCTTTACGCCCTAATACAAAATTTTGTTGTGAGGCGACAAATGCTTTTGCTGTGTAACTCTTACTGCTTTCAAATTAAGTCTCCTTACCACTAAAAATAAAAAATGTTACTACATTGAAGAATTATATATTATTAGTAGGATAATGTGTACTTACTCGAAACTGTGTGGCCCTTGCAGAATTTGTACTGGTGACAGCTGTAAAAGGGCTGTCCAGAATATCATCTATGCACATAAATACAAATTATTAAAGTACTTTCATATATATATAAATAATCTTTATTTCCTACAGAAAAAGGCTATCGACCCAATCGGTCTTTCTGCCCTTGTTTAGTATATATGTGCCTTAGCCTAGCTTATTCTAAAATTAATTCCTATTCCTAACACTCGTATAAATTAATCAGCTATACAAAGAAAATAAAAAAAAAAATTCCTGGCTTACAAAACAAACAGATATTAGTCCTTAGTTCAGTTGCGTTTGTAGGTGTTCTAGTAAAGTATCTGTTGGGGAACGAAAACGGGAG